AGTAATTTGAAGTAATCTCTCTGCTCTTCTCAGAGCTGGTGTGTGCTACAGCACATCACCGTTTTAGATTCTGAATTCTAAGTGAGATGGGGACCAGTTGGACGGTTTAGCAGTGGTCCAGAAAATGGCATAAAATGAAAAATTGAAAGAATTGCTGAGTAAAAGAATTAGCATATTCAGGTTGCAGAGAACTAGCTAGTTGCTTTATACCTCAGTTATGGAGAAAGTTTTTCCTAATGCTAATGGCGGAGGAATAATACAGTTTGAGAAGACTGAGTCTTGACAAAAGTGTTTCTGCCATAGGCACATACATGTGGTTCTTTGATGGAAGGAGAAAGAATTAGGTGGTGTCTTTAGACTACAAGCCTTACACTTACATGACTGTTAGTGACTTCCCTCAGGTCTATAACTACCATTTGCACAGGTGAAAAGAATTCCAACAGGTAAATGAAAACTTCGTATATCCAAAAAAGGAAGTGTGTCTTGTGATTCTAGGCAGAGGATCTGAGAGCTGTTTTCTGGGGGTTTTTTTGTTTTTGTTTTTTTTTTACTACTGACAAATGTAAATCCTGTTCTTTGTTGAAGCTAGCTCACTGCTTCTTATTTGCATGTATTTTTAATAAGATCACAGCTGCAGGAGCCACTAGGGAAAGTGTGGTCTTCATACAGCTGAAGGGGTAAGAGAGTGCACTGTTTGAGGATGTCTGTATGCAACCAAGTGAGATCCATCTGGCTCAGTGCTAGCTCTTGTTAAGTGAGAAGGGGCTCCTGGCACAAATGTAGAGTAATAGTTCCTGTCCTGCTTTTACAGTTTTGAGATATGTTGAGATGGAGGTCTACAGATCTGCTTTTTAATGAATTTTTTGTAATAAACTTTGTACCTGTTTTGTTTAATGGTCTCAGAAATGTCTTTAGACATTGATTATGTCAATAATTTACTAGGCAAAGAAGGATGTAAGAGCAACTTCTTTCTAAAAATTTTACTTGATGTTTCCAAGCTCTTCTGGGAAACACTTCAGTCTTCTCAACATGTCACTTTGTGCTATCATGACTTTTTTTCCTGTATACTTTGATCTGACACATGTCGTGCTTACATGTTTTGTGAGCTAAAAAGTTCTCTTTACTTTCTTTGTGTGAAAGCAGCTCCATACTATGATCAGTATTACCTATACTTTTTTTTTGGTGCTCTATGTTCTTCACCAAATAGGAGAATCTGGATGTATAGGAATACCACGAATGTATCAGCTGCATAATAATATGTTATGTACTCCCTTCCCTTCATTAGAAAATAGTCTAATATTCTGGATAGTTTGTAGCATAACCAGTTTAAAGCATAGAACAGATGTTTTTGAAGGTGTATGTTCAGAGAGTACTAGAACTTTCTCTGGTAATGGCATTAAATAAGTTTTACCAGTGTATTATATTACATTTATTGACATGTGACTTCATCTGCTGTTGCTGAGTGTTTTGAGGTTCTTCAAGTTTTTTTTGATCTGTCAGTTTTGATTGCTTATAATAATTTTGTATAAAGCACAGATGCTTCTGGAATGTCAGTTAGGCAGGTGACCATTCTGAGCAGCAGCCCAAGTCCTGGCACAGATTCTGGTGAGTCTTCTGACTCTCTCCCTCGTCATTCTTTGTCTCTTAAATCTTATTGTGCAAGGTCTTCAGTTCTCTACACCTTCATATTAACTTTTTAGAAGCCTTTTGTGCATTACCACTTCCAACACCTTTTTCCACAGGGTCCTTGATTCCTTCAAAGAGTTCTTCAAGTTGTGAATAATGATTTTCTTCTACAGAACCTGTGTTGTTGTTTTTTTCTTAAGAATTATTTTGACCACCTTGTCCAGCATGGAAGTCAGACTATCTTCATTGTAGTTATCCTAATTGCCTTGTCACCTTTGAAAAAAATGTGATGTATTTTCCACTCTCCATTCCTCTTTACTTAGGTCACCTTAAGCCTGAGATTTTGCATAATTAATAATTTTGCAATTTCATAGTTGATAAGAAGCTTTAAAGCTCAATAGCATCTGACTCTGGTGAATGTTATATTAATGTGATGTTTTTAAATACTTCTCTGATGCTTCATTTTGAGAGAATGCCTTATATATCCTCAGTCTGAATAGGTCTGGTGGAGGATTGGCTTTCACTGTCTTGGTAGTAATTTCAGAAGACAACAGATCTAGCTTTTCTGCTCTGTCCTTATCTTCTTACAATTCTGTCTTTTATATCTTTGTTATCTGGTGGATTACTGCATTGAGCTGTCAGTAACTATCAGGTTCTGGTATGTTTGAGCTCAGAAATAGCAACGGGAGTTTGTAACATTTTACTGCTCTCTGACAAATGGTTGTACAGTTCACTGGAAAGCTTTCATTATGCTTTCCTGTATACAAGCTAGTATACGCCTATCAATTAGACCAGTATTGGACTTGTATTACCAGTTTTAAAGTCTACTCATGACCTGATGTACTGGGTTTGCATGGGCAGGTTTTGGTTGTGGGGGTGTGCTACAGGGGTGGCTTCTGTGAGAAGCTGCTAGAAGCTTTGTCCTTGTCAGACAGAGCCCATGCTGGTCAGCTCCAAGATGGACCCACCACTGGCCAAGGCTGACCCAATCAGAGAAGATACTAGTCCCTCTGTGGTAACATATTTAAGAAGGAAAAAAAGTTATTGCACAGATGTAATTGTGGCCAGAGAAGAGAGGAGTGAGAATATGTGAGAGGAAAATCTGGAGACATCAGGGTCAGTGGAGAAGGATGTGAAGGAGGTGCTCCAGGCACTGGAGCAGAGGTTCCCCTGCAGCCCATGGTGAAGCAGCTGTCCCTCCAGCCCATGGAGGATAATGGGGTGTAGATCTCTACACCTGCGGGTATGGAGGACACATACTGGAGCAGATGGATGGCCAAAGGAGTCTGTGAAGCTGTGGGAAATCCTGTGCTGGATCAGGCTCCTGGCAGGGACCTGTGGACCCGTGTAGAGAGGAGCCAGGAGCAGACTGTTCCCCCTCCGTGCATGGAAGGGGACCTGGGAAGGGGGGAGTGGTGGGGACAGGGTATTTTTAAGATACGTTTTCTCATTATCCTGCTCTGATATTGATTGGTAATTAATTCACTTAATTTCTCCAGTCTGAGTCTGTTCTGCCTGTGATAGTGTTTGATGAGCAATCCGTTCCTGTGCTTCTCTCAACTCACGAACTTTTTATTATATTCTCTCTCCCCTGTCCGGCTGAGAAGGGGAGTGATAGAGTAACTTTGGTGGGTCCCTGGCATCCAGCCAGGTTTAACCCACTACACCTGTATGCAGAAGAAAATACACACGTAGATAAAAAGTCAGTAGTTATTGAAATTGTGAAGAAAAGTTGGGTTTACATTTTATTTTTATATTGAGAATCAACATTCTCCATTCTAACATATGTGATAGAGTAGTCCTTAAAAGAACCCCAAAGGTGTGTTCTGAAGATACAACTTGTTTGTGTTTAAGTGGTTCCAATCTGTTGTTTCATTTAATAACTGGAATTTTCATAAGGGCTTCATTTTAGCACATGCAATTCTTTAACATCTGCTTGAAATCTGAATGTGCCCAGGTGGTGCTGGTAGCATGTGTTCTACTTTCATGAGTCCCATTTGAATGAGGATTCCTGTCCAGTGATATTTTGGTGTTGCCACCTGGTTTGTATTTATGAAGGGAAGACTGGAGCCAAATTTGCCATAATGTTTTGCTCCTGCTTACAATTTTTTTGCTAGTGAAGACTTTCCCTTGGGCTTTGCAACTTAGAAACAAGTGATTTTATACCTGTTTTTCAAACATGTGGCCAATTTTGTAATGCTTTAGCTTCCTGCATTTTTTCCCCTAGTTTTGTATCTGCTTGCATAGCTGCTGTTCCTTTGCCATGACTGAATGTCAGCATCACTTAGTCTTTTCTATTTTTGGTCATGGAGAATGGAAGTTTTGTGTTTATATTCGGCAGTGCTTTGTTTCAAGAATGTCACTAAGTAGCTAGAAAGCTAAATAATGCCTGCTTGAATATGAACTAAGACTATCCTTGCATAAAATTTTATAAACGTGTCCATGATCAGTGCTTTGATTTAAACAATGGAGATCATGGAAGTAGTTCTCTTTTCTTTACCCTTGCACACTGTGTCTATCTTCCAGTTTTGCTCAATGAGTCTTTTCTTGCAAGGGCATTGCTAAACTAAGATTGAATGTCTCATCTAAAGTTGGATATTCTACTGTGAGATTGTGAGTGAATACTTAACATGGATCCAGATGTAGATTATACAGTATACCTTGCACTTGTAAGCTGTATGCAAAACCTGTTTCTTACTAGTTTTTATATTTTATATTTTTTTTTGAAAAATATAGCTCTCAAAGGCCCAGCTTTCTGTGTCAGTTTGCTTCACCTAGATTGCAGTCCAGAGTTAGAACATGAAATGTCCATGCTGCAGTCATCCTAATTTCTTCACCTCTTACTGTTCTAGATACTGGAGTAATTGAAGCTGTATGAGAAATCTACATGTCATGATTGGTCCCTTTATCATGTTGCCACTTGTTTGAATCCACCCTAGAGAAAATAACATTACTAACTTTGTCTTTTATGTAACAAATTTTGGTCTTCCATGCTTTCATTTTCCTTGTTAATGGTTTCCATTTTTTGTTTTATCAAAGGCGAGGTTCAGAAATAACTGACATTATTTCCAGCTACTATACCATGTCATTAGAAATTCCAACAACTTTGAAAATAATCTTCTGTTACAAGTGTAGAGACAAAATTATTTCTTCACTCAAAACTGTGTGTATGAGGTGATAGCATACTTGCAGTCCTTTGGGAAGTCTGCTCTGTTGATTTTCCTGAACTCTATCTCCTTTTGAAAAAAATCTGGTTTCTAGTAATAATCTGAAAATGCAAAACAACTTACCTAAGTTTAAGTTTTGCAATGTATTTTAAAATGCTGCGAAGGTAACGAAAGGTTTTATATGCTTTTCCTTTGCAGATTTCCCAGAAAGGTTATTTCAGAAAGTGAAAATCAGAAGAAGTAGCTGCTGACATAAGAAAAGTGGACTAAGGAAGATTTCTGGAGGAAAATTTTTAAGGTGTGTGAATTTAAGGTACGTTTTGTAGAAAAGCATTTCTGAAAATGAGCTGCCTGTTTTGCTTTGAGTGGACTAGTATTTCAAATGAGTTTTGAAATAATCAAGCTAGCTTATGTTACCACTTCAGGTTGCTGGTTATATCTGTGGAAGCATTTATTTTGCAAGCTCATGTTGCATACATTTCTCATCAAATGCATATGTAGATAATCTTCTGGATACATGTTTAGTGTAAACATATGGTAGGTAGAGCATGTGTTTTTTGTTTCATGGTCTTGTACATTCCAGGAACAGATCCTACACTTAACAGAAATGTCAATTGTTTAGTAGTCTAATTTTTATATAAGGTGTGGATGGAGAGGTAAAAATAATTAATTTTATTATTTCAATGGAACATAACTACTATAAACCTCACATTCAGAAATTGAGATGGCCTAACAAATTGATAACCTATTACAAAATTGCTTTAAAATCAGTACAGCCTTGAGTTTGAGGATTTGTTTCTTGAATCCAAATTATCTTTCTGTTCTGATTTTGACGTATACTTAATGTTTATAGAAAAATGTGTGCAAAATATGAGTCATGCTGTGTTGTATATGATGTGGAGCTCATGCAGATTTAGGAGCACGGTTACTGACAGCGTGTCAAGAGTGACTGTGATGCCGTGCACGTTCCATATTCCTCTTCATGGAGATCTGTGCTGTGCTTTCCTGCTCTGAATTTAACAAGGTGCAAGATGTGCATCAGGGTTTGTGGCTTACTAGATCCTTACCTTGTCATTGGTACTGTGAAACTACAAGTTCTAACTGATGCATATGGATCCACCATTATTTTAAGATTAGCAATCATAGTCTTGGATATAGTTCATGGCAATATGTAGCAGAAGGCACCGGTTGTTGGAAGGGTAGGAGAGCATCCTGTGAAAGTATTGCTTTGTACATACTCTGTTCTTCCCTGCTCCCCTGATTTCAGTCAGTGTCAGACACAAAGCACCTGTGATTTGACACAGCTTGGCCACTCTCATGTGTCACAGATAGATTGCAGTCTTGAATTAAATGTAGATTGGCTGTGAAAACTTTGTTCAGAGTTGTTGCTGGAATCCGGGAAGTCTACTAATGCTTTGCTATTGACTTTGTTTGCTGAGGGGAGTGTTACAGTATTGAAGAATTGCATGACTGTAATCGAGGCTTTTCACTGTTAGGCTGACAAAATTTAACATTCCTTTGTTTGGAAGTTTACTGAACCTCTGCAGTAGTGATTGAGACAAGCTATAAACTGTCTTCAGTAATCTGCTTAAATTTAGAACTCTTTGACATCTGGTTGCTCATTCACAGTACATTATTAAAATGTACATTGAATGTTTGCTTCCTGAGAGTGATTAGTTTGTTGTTTTGAGAGTGACTCTCTTGCAGTTGTCTATGAGACATATTTTACTCTTACCAAATATTTTTTTAGTAATTTACCCCCCCTTACATTCCAGAATAATTTAAAAAAAAAATAAACTAACTGAAATCCATGTGTCTTATCTGATGCTACTGGGATTTTATTGCTTTTACAAAACATGCTAGAAATCAGTTTGAGACTTCACTGGCATGTCAAATTATGCAAGCATTATTCACATGTGGAAAAAGAGATAAACCTCATAGGTATCTACCAGAAGTAAAAGAGATCTCTTCACAGTAAGAGTAAGCAATTTCTGAAGGTTTTTCTGTGTGAATTTAGCTTATCCTGCTTGTTATCAGTTCTCCATGTAGCTGCTTTAAAATGTGATGCCATCTCTGTTTCTTCCTTTAAGGTAAAATATTCTTCCATGTTTATTTTAAGAAAGACTTTTTTTGCCCCCAATTATCTTTCACACTGTATGTACATCTTTTCAACATTAGCATGGAAAGTATATTTGTGTCTCAAACTCACCATATCTCATACTGGTTCCACATTAAATTTTTTCCGGGTTCAGGTTTTGCTGCAGTAGCAAGTTTGCTAGTAGCTGGTGGTTGCAAAATGCTTGGAAATCTGTCTTTGTCTTCCAAGTTCAGTGTGAACATTTAAATGTTGTATTGTAAAGCCGAAAAAAGAGAATATTAGCATTTCTTCCATAATCCGGTGGCTGTGAACATGGGGAAGCACAAGGAGCATCACACCACAGATGGCAGCCCAGCTTGTTTGCTGTCCTTAAACATCTTTTGGTGCCCTGGCTGGAGACAGAGGGCTGATCTAAATGGATCATTGTGCCTAGATGATCATTGTATCTCCCTTCCAACTGAAGTATTCTGTTCTTTTGGTCTGACTCTGTAGGGCAGCTGTCAAGTCATCTGTGCACACTAAGCAGGGAGGTATCCAACTTGGAAAAATACCTGTCTGTATTGGTGCAAGGTCTCTTTGAACGTTGCCTTTTGAAATGTGCTTGGGCTTTTTAAGAGTGTTGGAAAATCAGATTGCATGTTCATGTATTTGGTAAAACTTACAGTTTTGATTTAAGTGACTGTGTGTTCTGTACTGGTTTTGGTTGTTTCGAAATGTTAAAAAGCATGAAAAAATTAAAAGTGGTTTTAAGTGTAAGCTTTTGGGTTTTATCTTATTGACAGTTTAGTGGATTAGGTCTTGAATACTTTTTCACCACTTCTGTGCCTCCACAATAAAGCATTTGAGTTTTGCTGGATGTCTTGATGGAGCATTCTCTTAATTTACATGGAAGTCGCATGGTGACTGGCTTACCCATTTGGGAATCAACAGTTCTGAGTCTTTATGCTTGTTAGTCTTAGCAAACCAGAGTTTTATCTGTTTGGCAAAACAAATTTTTACTGTACTGCTTCTATGAAACATTGAAACAAAGACCTGAGTCCAATATGTGTACAGTTTTGCCCTATGTACTCAGGCATCTAATAGTGTAATTGGAAAAATTCTGATTAGTAAAGAGAGGCTTAGCAGGCTGGAGTGGGATATTGTTGTGTCTTTTGTTCTATTGATTTTTGTAATCTTATGGCTCCACAGTAAGTCACTAGAAGCAGATTGCAATATCGTATACTGAGAGTATTTCCTCCATCTCTTGCCATCCTGCCTCTTGGTGAAAAACAGAGGTTAGAGTAAAAGCAACCAAGCCATCACTTTTCTCATAGCACAAGGCCAGACTTCATTGTGAGACTCAGTTCCCATCTCTTTTGAATCCAAAATGAAAGAAAACAGACACAATCTTTTCTCATAGCTAATGTTCTAGGATAGTTAGATAATGTACTAAAATGGGTTAGGAGAAAAATGAAAAATCACAAACGTGGATCCAGGTCCAAAAATCACAGGAGCTTTAAAGTTTTCTTCTTTCGTTCGTCTTACTGAAGTGTTTGTGTTTTTGCAAGTCTGCTCCTAAATTTTAACTACTGAAATATTATCATTAATATTACTAATAATGACATAGTTCATCCTTTATAAATGCAGACAACATGAATTATTTACTGTTGCTGTTTATGACTGAACTAGCCATCAGCAAGAATTCTGACTGAAATACACAGCTTCAAATTAAAGAGCTTATGAGAACTTGCTATAGGTTTAAAGTTACTCATACAACCTTAACTTACCTGTGATTGTGTAGGTGCATAGTAATGTGGCACTGTTCTTGTTTTCTTTATCAGGTCGTTGTTTTGTTGTGTAGTGGTTTGTGTTCTAAGAATAAATGTGTAGTACATGAAGCTTATTTCAGAGATTGCTCAAGGCTCTGGTTTGCAATATCTTCTGAAATTTTATGAGGTAACTAAAGTCAATAACATTTTTATTTTTTTTGAATACCTAATATGCTAAAAATGCTAGGCACTCTCAAAAGTCTTGTTTTAAGCCTTGTACATACCAACCATTATTAGCTGGTACAGTGTTGACATTAGTTTATCTGTCTCAGTTTTTGTTGTAAAATAAGATTATCAGTCCTACTTCCCTCAATAGGCTGTTAGGAAGATAAATCTGTTAATGTTTGCGAAACACTCTGCTAATTTAAGTGATAATGGAAAGCCTGTGAAGAAATGGGTACTTCTGTGTTGAAAAGAGCTAAGACTTTGCTGGAGTGCAGGAATTAGTGAATAAACTGTATATAGGCTGTGGCTGCACTGCAGTCTCGAGGCAGAGTTGCAGTTTATGTAAGTTTGTCTCACCTAGTTTGAAGCTGATTAGTATAGGAACAGGTTGTTGGTGTGTACACAGAAAAGAAAGTTCAGCATTGCATTTTGCATTGCAAAACTTATGCAAGTGTGCTTGGAAATTACTCATATGTCTGGTTCAAGTCTTACATGATATGACTGCATGTTTGTCAGCATCAGATTCAGGTGTTTCAGAGCTGACTCTGACAGGTGTCTTTGACTTCCAGTTGTGTTACAGGATTTCATAAGGCACCTGTTTATCAAATTATGTCAAATAGGTACAATAATATTGGACTGTCTTAGAGGAAAATCATGTGAACTCTGCCCTAATGTGTGTCTCAGGGGACCAACGTATGGTTGCATGGAAAACCTGATTTGGGATGTTTTCTGATTTCTGGGAGATTGAATCTGCAAGTTTAATGGCCTGCTAACACAGGTTAGGAGCAAAGTAGCTTCTAACTAGTTATCCATTTCCCACAGGGCAGTGACTGAGAGCTGGTGGATTATTTGGATTTTTTTGTGCTCTTAGGACAATAAACAGTGGAAACAAATGCTCAGGTCTCCAGGAGTGGAAAATTGCAGTTTGCAGCTCTTGTATGGAGATACTGTCAGCTATACTTGACTAAATACGTAGATTGGGATTTAGTTTTTGTCTTAGATGCTGCTATGTTTTACCTCACACTCTAGGCCCTAGTACGTTTTTGCAGAAATGGAAACTGGAGAATAGTTCTAAGCCTGAACTCTCTTCCAGTCATAGATAGGTGTTCTAGACAGTCCTCTGACCCTCCTTTCAGTTTATATTAAAGAGGTATATGTATGTGGTTAATCTTACAATTAAGTTATGTCTGGGTTTAGACATTAATAGTTTCTCTTTGTCTCACTATAAGTTTTTCTTTTGGTAATTGTCTCATCAGTCTTGTTCTCCTTTCAGATGTGGTGAAGAGCCTGTATTTTCCCCCTGTGTGGTATATAGTGCCTTAAAAAATGGGGTTTGGAGGTGACCTGAAGTATTCTCATGATGCTTTATTAAAACTGCAAGACTGGGAACTACGATTGCTGGAAACAGTGAAGAAATTTATGGTAATGCGAGTAAAAAGTGATAAGGAGTATGCCTCCACTTTACAGAATCTTTGTAACCAAGTAGATAAAGAGAGCACTTGTCAATTGGATTATATCAGCAATGTGTCCAAGGTAAGTCTGAAGTATTTTGAACTTAGAATATCCTTGGAAATAACAGTGCTGGATTTATTTTGGTTTGGTTTGAGTTGGATTCCTGTTCATTCAGATTCTTGAGAGTTAATGTTACCAAAGTAGTTGAAATGGGCTCCTTTTAGTTCTTCAGTGGAATATGCAGAAGTTGAGCTCTAGCCTTGCTTTGAAAATGATAACTGAACTAGAATCCTGATTTTTGAAATTCAGTATTTTACATTCCTGGGTTGTGCCTGCTGCTTTGTTTAGTGTTTTGAAAATAGAGTATGCTATAGCAAGCTTTTATTTTAAGACTGTTACATAGGAACTATTGTTTATGTTATATATAATTTGTGACAGAAATAGAAAAATGCCAGGAAATCAAGGCAAAGCCTAGCGTTCCAGCTGTTATTCACACTGTTGCATCTGTTGTAAAAACAAAACATTAATCCAACATGTTTCTCATAATTATGAAGTTATTATGTATCCCATTTCAAGTAACTGTGTTGACTTTTTATAAAGGTAAGGCTGTCCTTCCTCCAAATTACCAATTTTCAGATTTAAAGCAAGTCCAGTAAACGTCCCGAGGAAGCAAACTTCCTATATCACCTGTTTGAAAGTTTTAATCCTGACTTGGATTCCCTCCTGAGAAAAAAAATAAAACTACTCTGATTTAATAGCCTATTCAATTCCTGGCCCTTGTGCTATTGCAGTGATTACACAGTCCCTTCAGTCTGGCATGAATCCTGATCTTCTCTCTGCAGGAAAACACCCTTTTTGGGTCAAGTTAAATTTTAGACAAAGCAGTTTTTATGTAGTGGTTTTATGGGGAGGCTGCTTGAATACTGGCTGTGGCATAGCATTAGGAACAGGACTGCTCCTTGTGCAGCAGCCTAGATTTATACTGGATTAAAGTGACAGTGTGTGTGACTTGAAAGCTGTGCTGCCATAGCTGTGCTGCTTCAGCTGCCTCAAAAGTAGCACTGCACAGTGTTTATTGATGACACGTTCTGTTGCTGTTCCCTCCCCCACAATAATTCTTGTCTATTGAAACACTGCTTTTTTTTTCCCTTTCTGTGTTGTTTTGGTAGTGTATCTGAAATGCTTGTCACCCAATTATGTTTCTTACACACAGTTGTTACAGACATTGCTATTAAAGTTGTGATGATTTTTGTAAGTAGACATTAAAGCATTGTCTTTAGCTTAAGATTGGCAGATGCCATGTATTTTCTTCAAACTCTCTACTGTTAATTCCCAAAGTTTTATTTAGAATTATTAATGATATGACTAATCTTGCTATTGCTGCCTCAGTAGAATTGCTCATAGTGCTCTTAGTGCTAGCTAAATGTCTCGCAATTCTTTTAGGCAGCAAAACAGATAAGGGCTGGAACACTAAAGGAGCCTTGGCATCAGAGTATTTAGCAATATAAGGTATCAACAACCCTTAACCTTCGTGTAGACCCTCAGTCTAGGATGCTTCATGTTAGTGACGTGGACACTTCCTGTGACCAAATAAATTTCAAAAAGCAGATGGTCAGACTTAAGACATGCTCTTTTTGTCTTGAAAAGAAGAGACTTGTGTGTCACATTTTGAAATCTTGTTTTGGACCTAGACACTCAGGTTGATTGTTCAGCATTGGTTTTGTTCCATTTTTCACTGAAGTCCTGTCCCTGATTTCTACATCTTTAGATAACAGCAAAAATTAAGACAGATCTTTTGTATAGCCCTGCCTTCAAGTTTCATCAACACCCTGAATTTTAAAGTTGTGTGTTGAAACGTTATCTTATGGGGTTTGGCAGTTAAAATGTCTGAATTATTGAATAATTTGCTCATCTCAATCAAATGTAATTTACTTTACTGTTTCATGATAAGTTTTCTCTCTTCCTGACATTTTACACAATCAAAGTATGATGCAAATATTATGGGACATAAATCTAGTGTCTTACATCTCCTAAGGTGTAAAATGCCTGTATATTAAAATGATCTTTAAGGTCCCTTCCTACCCATTCTGTGATTCTGTGTTGGGTTACTAAGGCAGATGATTAACTGCTCGTGTCTCTTAACTTTTTAGCACCTTGTGCTTTGATAGTGATGGCCTGACTGATGCTGTCGGTTATGTGAAGCAGCTGATGTAGTGGTATCTTTTTAAACCATAACCACTCAAATGTGTATTCCTGTGAGATATTTAGACAAGGGCAGAGAGGTCAGCTTGAACACAGTAACTGTGGCTAGGAAACAGGGTGAAAAAGGATGTGGCAACATGGTTGTCACCGGTGTTGGGGATGTATTTTTAAAACAATGCTGTGATGCTTTCTTTGGTGTTCACAAGTACTAGGACAGTGCTGAAGGGTGAACATGCAGTTATTGTATTTTTGTTTCTGGTGCTTTTTTATGATTTAGTAAGTTAGAGGCATGGTTTTGCTGTTGCAAGAGGATCTCAAATGAATTTGTGTAAGTTTAAAATTAGTTTTTTACTGAAATGTTTTAAATAGTGGCGCATCTTCTCCCACAGCTTGTGTTAATTGTTTGGTTATTTTTAAGCTGAAGTAAGTGTTTTTGTGTTCTGACTTCTTTTAATAGTCTTGGTTGCTCGTGGTACAGCAAACGGAACAGCTGAGCAAAATAATGAAGACACATGCAGAAGATCTTAATTCTGGGCCTTTGCATAGGCTTACAATGATGATTAAGGATAAGCAGCAAGTTAAGAAGAGTTTTGTAGGCGTTCATCAACAAATTGAAGCAGAGATGTACAAGGTATTTTATTCATCTGTGCTTTAAAAGTTGATTATAATTTTATATGTTTAAAAAGTAATGAATTGAGAGTGGACTTTTAAGTTGCTCTGGTTTTGTTTGTGCTGTGGTAAAAGAAGCGGTGTGTGATACATAGATTGCCAAATTTAAATTTTAGTTTGTTCCTACACAGCTTTTCTCTCCTGCTAGCTGGCAAGGCAGAGATAGAAGGCCTTATTCTATATGAACTTCTATTGACTAATAGCATGGAAAATGCTCTTGTTCCAGTAGAGGATAAGTCTGTGTGACACTTCTCTATTTCATCTCTCTTCCTGTTCTCATTCCACTCTTGACATTCCTGGGACCAGGGCGCTGTAAACTTTTGTTAATGAGTGCTCTTGACAGTCCAGACTGTTTTGGGTAGAGACAGGATTCTGGTCCCTATTCTAAAATATGAATCAAGTATAAACCAAACGTTGATTGTTTGGAGATGGGACTCTTCAGGGCCTTTTCCATTACATGTCAGCTGTCCTACTTATGTTCAAAGTGCTGTATCTAGTCAGTAAACCTGACAGAAATCACAGTTTCATTCAGATACTGTGGGAGAAGTTTAACTGCAAATGTCACAAATCAGATAGTTAGTCTGACAAGTCTGCTGAGAGAGGGCAAAGCACTGTTTCTTCTTGCTTCCATCAGAGAATTTGGGATTTGGAGTAGCTTAATTAAAATTAAGATCTGAGTAATGCAGTACAACTGTCATGGACTAAAGAATAAAAGATTGTTGGGCCAGTTTCAAGGACTTGAAGCTATTCTGTGTTTAAACTAAACATATATTAAGATAAATACATTGTCTCTAAAAAGACTGCTTTCATAATATGCTAGGATCTTGGAATCTTCCCCAGGTATTGACTATGAGGAGTACATATATTTTGATGCATTGTCAGTAGGCTATCATTTTCTGATAAAATTTCCAAGCCAGATAATCACTTACAGCTCCTTATGGATTGGTAAATCTGAAATTAGTCAGGATGGAAGAAGAGGAAAAATGGTAGCACATGTTAGAAATAATACAAGTAATAGAGAATTGCAGAAATAGAAAAAGAAAGAAACATACGAAAGAGAGGCTAGATGGAGCAGACTGCTGGAAACTCATGTATACTTCTAAAAGAATATATGCAAAATGATTTTTTTTTAGTGTTACTGGGTTAAATTCTAATAAAACTGTAATAAAACTGTCTTTTAAAATGAGGCTTTTTAAAAAAAACATAGTGCAAATTGAGCAATCACCAAATGACTAATTACAAACCACATTGATTTTCATTAATTATGGGCCGCATAGCCATGAAAATATTTTGCATCCTGGTGAAGAAGCCTATGGTGTTGTTTGGGGTGGTAGTGTTTTTTAGGTGTTCTTTTGTTTGGTTTGTTTTTGTCGTTGTTGTTGTTGCTTTTGTTTTTTTGGGGGTTTTTTTTTTGGGTTTGTGTTGGTGTGGGTGTTTGGTTTTTGTGGTGTGTTGTTTTTTTTTTTTTGGTTTTTTTTTTTTGTTTGGTTTCTTTTTTTTTGTTTGTTTGTTTGTTTTTTGGGTTGGGTTGGTTTTGTTCAGTTTTTTCACTTACTGATTTTCCAAAGAAATATTTGAATAGCATTCTGGTTACATAGGACACCTTCTGCTATTCTTAGCTGACATTGTTTATTCAAGGGTATTGTGTACCTGGAGCACTTACAGAATGATTCCCTGAAATTCAAAGTACTTGTACTTCTCATGTTCTGTGGTATTATTTCTGCTTTTGTTGCACACAGAAGTAAAATGCTAATTATTTCCCAATATATGTATCCAAACTTCATGAACATTGTCTGTGCAGCTAATATTTTTAAGATACGGTGGCAGAAGAATGTGTTTAAGTGACATGCACATGTGTCATTGTTCCTTATTCTAGATACCTTTAAGATAAGGAGTCTTTTTGGAAAAATTCTTAAGGACAGCGAAGGACACATCTTTCACACAAATGTAGGACTTGTACCTTGTAGGTTTATTCCAGTTTCTATTGAGATATTGCATATGTTTTCTTTCTTCGTGCAATTTGGAGGCAAAAAAGTGGAGTACTATGCTAGTTAGGTGGGCAAGACTTCGTGAAATAAAAACTGAATTTCTGATAATCCTTGACCATCTTAGTTCCTTAAGGACCAGATGGGCTCTCAGTGTTGGTTTTGTCTGTTGGGAGAACACAGTCTAAGAATCAGTAAAATAGATACTGTTTCATAATGCAAGTGGCCTTTTCTTTTTCAGTTTTCTGTAAGAGAAGCAGTTTGTGTTATTGTGTTTTAATTGTATTCACTACTCCTAATTTCATCTTTTTCTCCATTTCTCATGATGTCATTATAATGTAAGTTTGTCACAAAGCTGTTTTTCCTGTACCACCTTTATTAGTGTATAATAACAGCAGTTGTTAATATAATTTACTGTGTGTAGAAATATGGGATGAGTATATGAGATCGATCTGGAGAAAAAATTTCTGCATGTAAATTAAACCTTTGCACAATTGGGCCAGAAATAGAAACTGTAGATAGCACTTAATTGGCTCTTCTAAGGAATTTCAATAAGTTTCCAGATGTTTTTGAGGGTGAAAGTTACCTGCCCCTTGCCTCATGGAAAAAAAGGGAAAATTGTGAACTCCAGCCTTCTTCACGCTGGCTGCAAGAGGAACTATTGTGCTGTAGAATGGACTTTTCTTTCTGCATATTCATTTAGGGGAGCACTTTGGTTAAAATATATTTCTCTTCCATGATTTCCCATTGGGAGTGTATTTTTCTTCTGTTTTTTTTTTGTCTGAGATTTTATTTTATTTTATATTTATTTCTTTATTATACATTTTTTGGTGTTTTGGTGGCTGGTTTGTTATTAGCTTTTGTTTGCCTGCTCATGATTTGGGATTATTTCTGAACAGTGCACTAGTTTTGTCACACAGCGAATGAATGAGACAACTTTATTTTAGTTTTTGGCTGAAAATGTCAGGTTCATTGTAGTGCTTCCTCTGCAAAAAGATTCTTCAGTGCTGTGTTTCACTGCAGAGGTTTTTTGTTTGTTTGTCTGTGGTTTTGGGTTTTTGTTTAGGTTTTTGTCTGCTTGGTTTTGTTTCTTTTCTGTTTTAAGGATTTAGGTTTTACAACAGAGAGATTGGTTCATGCATAATTGCTGTTGCAAAGTAATTTGTATTAAGTATAATAAGTAAAGATTCTTCTAGCTTGTTTTCATTATTTTAGGTGCTAAAGGATTTCCTTCCTATGCATAGGATGTTTTCGTCTAGTTTGATTTATTAAATGACTTTTTGATGTTGTTTTCCCTTGAAATTGAATAGTGTTTATGATTAACTGAATTTCCTAAACATATTTTTAAATACTCTGATATGTATAGGGATCTCTGTTTCAAGCCTCTTATTTGCTTCCATGCTTTCATTGATTTTGATTTTGCACCATGTAATTTGTACCATGTAATTGTACCATATAACATCCTATTAAGATTATCTCAAGCCACTGAAAGTGGTATCATCCTTATTTTGGAAAATGAATCCTGTTAATTCTCTTTCACTAATGCTATGAGGGTTTTTTATATGTTGATAATAAGTGTTATTAATGATTTTTATATTTCTGGGTTTTTTATAGGTTACAAAGACAGAACTAGAGAAACTAAAATCTAGCTATAGACAACTAATAAAAGAAGTAAATTCTGCCAAAGAAAAGTATAAAGAAGCTGTGGCTAAAGGTATGACTGACTTAATTTTGTCTATTTATTAGTGCCTTTTTCAAACCTGCCAAAACTCTTACAGTGAAACAGGATAATATTTGTATTTTGAGCAGCTCAATCACAATGTAAAAGCTCATTAATTGTCATCATGTGTACTTGGTGTTACTCTTTTTAAAATTCATAAAATAAAGGATAGGCTGCCTTTTAATATAAATGGTGATCCTTTTAAGTTCTTTTATTATTCCTTTACTGAATGTATTTGAAATCTAAAATAGCTCAAATGAATTGTTGGTAGTGGCAAGTGAGTTGGGTTGCAAAACTGTCTCACCTGGTTGTAGCTGCAGCCTACTACTTGTCTCTGACCTATTATGGTTGCTGCAGTGGCATCAGCATCAATTCTTGCCTGTGTAACAGATCTGACCTTTGCCAGTCTTAAGCAAAAGAGTCAAATTTGATTTAATTGAGATTGTTCCTTTATGGAATGATGTATCCAATCTGCATGGATTTGATTCTTATTGAATTGTGCTTGAAGGATTAGATAAAGGAGAGCCTTTGTTCTATTATTTATTGAAATATCTTGCTAATAATTGCTCCTAAAGATGCATTGAAGACTCCTTTCTAAGATATTTTCTTTCTTTCGTGAAAATTAATTGAATGGCAGTATATAACTGTAATTCTAAGATCCATCTTTAAGCTTCTGTACAGCTGCCTAAAATGACAGTTTCTGTCCTTCTGTTGTAGTATATTTCGCAGAGCATTATAGTAGCTATGATTGCAGAGAGAAAGCTTGTTTCTTACCAAATTTGTTTAAAATTTGGAGTAGTAGGTGAATGAATGTGAATGTAATAGCAAAATAGCAGAGGATAAGAGAAGTTATAATCAGCCCTGTTCAGCATCAACTTTTTTTCTCTCGTACCGATCTTAGTAACTTAAAAATGTAAATGTACACTCAGCTGTTCCTTTCATCCAGTTCCCTGTTTTCTACATGTAACTTTAATTTGGTTGCTTGGTTTATCTCTAAGTAACTACTTAACATTGAAATATGTACATATCAAATATGTAACATGGCAAATATAATAGGGTGCTCTGATCTTAGTATGATTTTTTTGTTCCTGTCTTATCCTGTGTTTCTGTTACAAGTCTGATTATTCTCCATTCCTGAAGCACCAAACATTCTCTTTGAAATAAGAGTGTTTTGGCCATCAGCAGCTGTGATGTTTTGATGTGGTTTTGATTAACTGAATTAATATTTCTTTAGATAGACAGCCCAAACCGCTTTTAAGGCACTTATCTCCTGTGGTTTACTTTGGCCTTCTTTTTCAGGCTTCCATTTAATGTTTGTCTTATTACAATTCATACCTAATTTCCCTTCTCCTAAAATCTTACTATGAATCTTTTTTGACATACATTAACCTCCATAAAAATGTTGCAGGATTTTCTCCCAAAAGTTGCAGAATACTTCTCCCCTGTTATATCTCAGGCTGTGTTCTTGTTTACAAATACTTGTGTAGTTGATGAGCTATTATAGTTGTGTATCAGCTGCAGGTCAGCTGAGTTGTTTGAATATTTTTAAGCCATGGTATTTTCATAGCGTTTCTGAGCCCAGAAGTTGTTAAACTGGTTTGTGAAGTGAAAAGCTAGGGAAGTCTTAAAATTGTAATGCTTCATTATTCCAGGCTATTCATTATTCAGTAAGCAGTGCTTATTGAAATTATGTGCAGTTAAGAAGTACCACTTTAGCTAATATCCAAACTGTTTCGGTTTTTCAGTATTTCAAGATTTATTGGAAACAAGGAAAGGAACAGTGCTTACTAGAACATTGGGAGGGCATAACCAGGTATTGAAAATAAGCTGAAAAACATTCTGTTAAATAAAAGAATGAAAATCTTCGTCTACCAGCTCTTGCAAGAATGATTTAAAATAACTAGTCCTGGTCAACTTGTGCAAAATGCTATTATAAACAGCCTGTTCCTTTGGAAAGCTAGCTCTCTAAAATAGTGACTGGCCTTGCCTCTCTGGAGCCGAATGGGCACATACTCTTTAGGACATGAAGTTTTATCTTCACCCCTTGACTTGTGCATGTTGAATTCATGCAGCACCTGTACAAGCTGGCCCACGGGAAAAGAATGAAACCCAAACAGAGTAATGACTGAGAAATGTCTGGTTTGCAGCTGTGGTGATTTTGAGATTTAGTGACATTTTTCTGTTTTGTTTTGGAACAGCAAAGCCAGACAGAGTAAGTTTGCTAGAGCTGCTAGTTAAGGAGGTAGAAGTGGTTGTCTAGCTTGTGAGAAGAATTGTTTCCCTGTTTTCTGGTTGAGTTGTTAAAAGTGATACCAAATTTTGGACTAGACACAGGGTAAAGACTGGCAAAGATATATACAGTGGACAGTGATGCTATGATTTTCCACAGCCAGAAAGTAGTCTCAGGTAGATATGGATTTTTGTTTCTTGCACGAGTTAAGTGGACAGTCACTTGGAATCAATGTGTTGATACTTTAATGCAGGGTTCCAGGTCTTTGCACTTTTTTCTGAAACCACTAAGAGAAACATTGGAAAGAAGGGTAAGTGTTAAGGACTGACTAATGATACTGGTTAGTTACAGGCACTGTTTGCATTAGGGCAATGGGTAAGGCAGCTGGTGGGTATTTTTGGATAGTTTTTTTAGTAAGGAAAAGGGAACTGCTTTCTGAAGGATGCAGGAGCTCCATTATGGAAGACTTTGTGCTCTCCAGGACTGGAGAAAGATGAGTGTCTGAGATTCTGGCCTAGAAGCTGTTCTGGGGAACTCTCCTCTAGCACTGCTGCTGCTTGTGTATCAAGGGGAGCAGTGGGGCAGTTGTCTTGTGGAGTGCACCACTGCATCTTGGCTGCCACTTGAACCTTAGGCATTCTTTGGTTTTGTTTCTCTGTGGATAAATTGACTAAAATAGTTGCTCCTGAATAGGAAAGTTTTGTTAAAAAACCTCCACGAAATATGTACGGGGAACACGCTCCATGTTCCTTTGCAGATTTGGGTCACTGGGACATATTGGAGTCATAGGGCATGCAGGGGTCATTGGAGCAAAACACAAGATAAAAACTTTTTAGATTGTTTTTATATAATGTAACGGACAGCCCTGTGAAATCTTTGGGCGTGTGATATTGAGAAAGGATGGCGTAAACATCTTACAACAGCAGTCCAAAACAACACTGTGTGTCTGAGTCTACAGTGCTGTGCTGATCAGTGATGCTGAGCAATAAGGTAATTAGAATGTGTTATGTTGATGTTGCTGCTACAGAAAAACACATCAAGCCAAAATTTGTGCCAAATGGAAAAGGCATTGTTTGGCTGAAGAAGTCACAAAGCTTCTAAAATAGTTTTGTAAATAATGTGTTAAGAAGAGAAAGTGGAGACTGTAGGACAGTCGTAAATATCAAGTGTGATGTTTCATTAGAGTTGGAATCCCATTTATTTGATTGTATCAGTAGTTGCTTCCCCTTAAGTTTGCTGTTTGCACAATTATTTTTTCTTTCTGTGGAACTGTATATCTCTACTAAGTGTGTCTGCGGGGGTTTCAAGTGTTTTCATCCTTGACTTTTTTGATTAAATACTACTCGTTGCTATATAAATAAGGATAAGATGACGACATGAAATAAGAAACAATTATTTACTCTTTTCCTTACATTGTTTTAAAAAGTAAAAGCATTAATTCTTAAAATTTTTCATCTATTTTTTGAGCTGATTTTGGTGTTAATGTTTAAATGTGAAACACTTGCTCTTATGTTAGTTAATATTGCAAGTTGGAATAGAGTCAGTGTAGCTTTGGGAGGTTCATACTGAATTTTAGTGCAACATAATCCTACAAAAAATACAGTTTTCATGTAAACACATTTGTTACAGGTGTTTATTGTATTCTTATTACTGGTACATTACTGATTGAATGTAGACACTATGTTGCAACATTCTTATGTGACATGATAGATCTGAAGTAAATAGTAGAAGAAAAATACATTGATTCTAAGTACTTAATATCATAATTTAATTTTATGCTGCTAAAGCAGCATAAAAAATATTGTACCAGATTTCTGTAGCCTTGTGTTTCCTGACAACATTGTGATTTAGAGGAGGCTAGAAATATTAATTTTAGACCCAGCACATTACGCAACATTGCATGTGCTGGAAGAATGTTTTCTGATCCCTGCAACTCCTGTGATTTAATGCTTAAGAATGGACGTGACTTCCATGGTTAATACTGAAGTTGCACAACAGAATAAGCTATACCTATGATAAATAAGGGAGGTGTTAAAAAAACTTTCATTAAATTAAATTATTGTTCTACTATTTGTTGTAATAGCTGAGTGGCCTGAAAATACTTATTAGGTGGCTGGTGCATTCATTCTGAGACGCCTCTAAAGTTGTTATTGCACACCTACATTTCCTGGTGGCATGTGCTGCCTGTAGTTGCCGAGATATGGGAAATACTTAGTGGGTTATTTTTTGAGCTTGATTTTGACAGAAACTCTTACATTAAGACAAAACAGGTAAGACTGGCTGAACTGGTCTCTCTTATTCACAGAGGTCAGCAAACTGCATGGATTTCAAATTCATACTTTATTTTAAGTGTTTCAGCTCATAGATAATACCAATGCTCGGAAGGGGTAGGGTTGTTTCTTCTGTGTGAAATGAAGTTTCTAGAGCAGGAAACTATGGGGAGTGCAGAGCCAAGAGACCTCAGTGACTTCTGGTGGAGTGTGGGTCCAGCTTGGGCATATTGTTTCCACTTAACATAGACATGCAGTCTCAGGATGTGCTATCCTCACAGACCAGCATGCATAGGTCTGACAGAACTTACTAGAGGTGTTTCATAGCTCAAACATCTGACAGCAGTTCAATTAAATTATACATTCATTTTTGCTAGTTTTATGCTATGTTATTTGCTTACCCTGACATTAAGCAGATAACTTTGCCTAACTAATTCTTAACTCAGATGTTTAGGTCTGGTATTCTCTAAGAGTTTTTTCCCCATTAGAAAACT